GAGCAAGAAATACATTTTATATATATATAAAGATAAAAAGCACTAAAAGCAACACAATAAAGAGGTGATCATAGATTAAACAAAAGGAAAAATATAAAACTAGTATAATAAGTAACCAACAGAATTGCAATGGTTTAGAGAAAACCATGCAGTAACTAAATGATGAAGAATATCAACCAGCAAAATGTTTCTTACAGATTTTTTTTAGTACAATCACTCAGCTAACACCTTAATATGCCATGCTGCTCTTACCTCACTATCAAGAGGACTTTGCTTCTGAGGGCTCAGGGATGCCTTTTGCTGTGGGGAGAAACACTGGAGTTAATAGGATGTGACAGACAAGCATAAACATGGAACAACAGTGGTATTTGGAAACATTTTAAATCCCTGGAAGCCTTAATTTTAAATAAAACAGACAGTGGGGAAATTTCAAGTTTCCATTACATTGAAATTTAGCAAATACTGTCAGTCTGGGGTAAACTTTTATACCATTACAAAAAAATGGATGTCTAGATTAAAGCAACATATTAAGCCTAAAACCCTCTTCCCATTACAGAAAAAAGCTGTGGCGGAAAATAACGATCTGCTCACAAATACCGGGCAACTAAATGAAAACTTTTTTGACAATGAACAATTGGTATCCAGAATGCAAAAAAAGCCTTCAGCTGAAAGGATGATTTGAATCTTCAACAAACACAGCTTTTCTCCAATGTGTTGCCAGGAATTTGAACTGAAGAGGTGTTAATGGAAAGCAGTGTTTTAAAACAGTCAGCTAAAATCCATTCCTTAAAACAACTGCACAGATCACAGAAAAGCAAAACAGCACGACTGCCTTTCCACTGCAGGCCACCCTTAAATCACAACGTGTAACTGCATCATCTCTCACTCCCTGTTACAGGCAGAGCTGGTGTGGATCCTAACAGCAGGGGATTCAGCTGGATGCAAACACTAAGATAAATCTAAGGTGTGGAAATTGGTCAGACTACATTTGCCTCATTGGGAAAACTACTTCCTCATCTGCCAAAACCTTCCTCAAAATCCCCTTTGTTCCATAATCTAACAAGGAGCCATTCTTTCTTATGCCAACCTCTTCTAAAGGAGGAACAGAACGACTACAATTGCCCATTCTGCAAAAAAGACACTTCAGACCTGTGCCTTGTGTAAACCCCTCTCTGCCTACTTGTTCAATTTTATTTTATTTTTCCCTGCATCGCACTGTAGGTCCTACAGACTGCATCTTGTGAAAACAGATGAGACATTTTTGTATAAAGCGTAGGTCACGCTATAGCTGTGTGAGAGATGTTGGACAACAATGCCCACACTTCAGTGTTACTGAAGGCCTTGGAGAGATACGTGTTAGACTTCATGAAAGCTATGTACTTTGACAAAGTCAAGGACAGCCTCCCTCTGGATCTGCTTTGTTCTTATCCTCTCCTCCTCATACTGAAGTGCTGCGAGCTGGGCCTCTCGCCGAGTGCGCTCCACTAAGTGGTCTCGCTTTCGGTGAATGTCTGCATCTGTATTAGACATCTGGAACAAAACCACTGTGTATTAAAGGGAATGCATTAGGCTGAAAGACTGCAGATTGCTACCGAAGAAGACGCAGGCAGATCACAGAGATGCAGCACATGCTGATGTGAATCAACTGGCTAAGAAAGTTTGACCAAATTTGTCACAAAAAAAGAAAAAAGGCAAAAAAAATGAAGGAGTATAGGGTATTACCTGATTGTGGGTGTTTGATAGACAGAGATGGTAAGAGGAATCAGCTGGGGCTCTGACAAATAAAAAGACAGCCATATAACACAGAATAAGTACATCTTTCTTGAACTGGATTATTCTTCAAACATCAACTGCCAACAATACTAAGATACCCTTGTCAACAGTACAACCAATCTGTGAACTAACCCACAAGCGGTTAAGTTCTAGTGCCAAATAACGATCTAATAATTGCCAATCGTATTACAGACGCTTGATGATAGGTCTATGTTGTGGTTCAAGTGTAAAGGCTAGGCTCTTATCCAGCTGGAGATGTATGGATGGGAGTATGAAATCTGGCTTAACAGTCAGCTATAGTCAGAAATGCTTGAACACTAAGCGTCTTATCAAAGGGAGTTGAAAAACTTTTTAGTTCTTTCACACGTAGAAAACCAACTGATCATCACACCTATTAGCAAAGAGATGCAGTAGTTACATGCTTCTCTTCCCTACCTCTCTGCTCTGTCCACGTAACTCCTTAGTCCTTGGTGTCGCTCTCTGTCCTGCAACAAACTTAGTGTTTCTGGTCTTCGTAATTCATCAGTGTCCCTGCAAGTAAACCCAGGGCGGACTGATTAACCATGCTCAGCAGTTGTCACGTAAAGTCATTTTTGTCTAGATTACAGCTGCTTGTCAAGACAGCGATTAAACTGTAAACTGCAGGTGATTAAGATGCCCAAAGCAAGTACATTTAAACATAAGGCTCAACGACACCTGTTGTGTTATAAATACCGAAGTGTGTCCAGTAATATCACTTGCTGTTGAGAACAATTTTTAGAAGTAGATAAAACTGGCATTTCTTCTTAAACACTGGACATCCCAGCTTTCATGAGCTTTCAAGTGCAATTACACTGTAGAAAGATTACCTTTGTTTAAAAAAAGTGTCACTGAGAAACTTCATTATTCTCTCTCAGATATGTTCACAACTAATGCTCAGTTCACTGACAAAAAAAAAAAGATCTTTCCCCTGCCAGTGCTACCGACTCCACCTAGGTTCTTAAAAATCAAGCTGTGCTGTCACTTACATCAGCACCAGAGACAGAAATACTGGAATCAGATCTCAGCTAATAAGTTTGGTTTAGGAGTGAGGGGGAACTTAGTGGAATCATTAAACTAAGTATTCAGGGTCGATAACAAGAGAAGGCAAGTGCAAAAGACATCCGTGCTTTCACTATGCTGTGTTCTCTTTAAAAGAAATACTCTTAAGTTTCAGCTAAATGCTTAAGTTGTATATGGAGGGATGTGCCTTGACAGGTGCAAACAAAACCGTGCACCTAAAAAAAACCCAGTTACTGATTTTGCCCATGTAACTGTGTACAAGTTGGGCTCTCCTTTCACATAAAATACACTCACGTAGGACACAACCGAAGATGCTTCCTTTTGAATTACCTTACAGCTCTCAGGTGATGCACATAATGCCCAATGCTGTTTGGATTTAACAACACTGGATCAAAAAAACATCAAAAATCAAACTCCACATCCAGATCTGAAATGGCACGTAGCACTGCTGAGTCAGGAAGTTACTGCAGGCTGCCCACATGTGCAAGCTGTATTTACCATCTTTAGCTAGCTAATGTAGCTACTCTTAAGAGAAAGCCTGAATTACGTCTAGCTTTTTAAGAGCTTTGATGGCTCCAGTGTGCTGTGGAAAAAAATTAAGGCTGTCTGCCAAGGTATTGCAAAAAATTGTTGTGGGAGTAATTTACAGCTTATGTGGCTGGCTGGCATAAGTAAAATATTCCACTACTATAAACTTCAAATACTCCAAAATACTAATTAATTTTTACACAGCTATTTTTCTTTAGTTTTGGAAGGAACGACATTTTTTTTTTTGGTAACTCATTAAAAATGTAATTCCACTGCAAGGAGAGATGAATGGGATGAGACGCTGGATTAAATCCGTCTGCTTAAAGATCTTGTGCCATCTCTGTGTTAAAGCTGACAAACATCAGAACCCCACGGAACTATAATTTACTTTATCATTTGTGTGGATTGCCAAAAATCAGCATACGTACATAAAAACCCTCTTGTCTAATTAATTAGAGATGTCTTATTGCTTTCATGTGCGTCAGGGAGCCTAGTGTTTGTAAAGACTAGTTATTCCCAACTTCAGCTATAGCTCCCAGCTATTCTTTCAGACCAAGAATACACACTTCATTTGAGGAGGACATGGCAGGTTGCTCTTTCAAGGTTTGCTTGTGGACACTACAGGGCAAGGAATGCTGGCACACGCTGAAGCATTTGCCATTTGCAATATCAAGGCAGCTACTGAACGTGCACACTAACCACACTGGTCAAATCCCAGGAAATCCATGGAGGCTACGCTGCTGTCCATATGCAAAAAGAGCTTTCAGAAAATAAACCCACTGCTCTTAAATTCAGATTCTGTAAGATGACCGAGAGAGAGAGAGAGAGAGTTCCAATGTACAGAATTTCCAAAATCTATTTTAAAAAAATGTATTTAGGGCATAGACAGCAAAGCGTCCAAAACCAGATTGCATCTCATGCTAACATTCCTACAACAGTCCAAGACTATTTTTTTTTTACAAGGAAAAAAGTTTCTGCCGAGGCCCCACACAGAAAATTTCAACCTCAAGAGAAATGAAACAGCTCAATGACAAATCAAAACATGGTCTTAACTGTAGCTGCATAAGGAACTATATATAAATGTATCTCCCCTTCTCCTGCTCTTGTCTCTTGAGCTCTTTTTGTGTGATTCCTTATGCTTTTCTTGACTCTATTCCTTGTGTTTGCAACCTCTCAAATCATCAGTTTATTACACACTTCTTCCAGGAGGGGAATATTAACCTTATTATCACTAAAGTAGCTATCAATGAAAAAAATACATAATTCTCAAGAAGTCTGTGTTGTTAACCTAAATGATCACCTGGGCTTTTGGAGGCAGTTCTTGCTCCTCTCCCCTTTCCATCTACAAAATATGAAGCCTATTTAGTTAGATCTGTCTAAAATATTGGCATAACTATGCCAGTTCAAATCCCTAAAACAGATTAATTTAAAAAACTTTTAAAATTTGTGTCTGTGGACGTAAGTTAATTTGACAATTTAGGAACACAAACCTGAAGAATATAAGCATGGGTTAGGGGAACTTAAAATTGCACAACTGGTTTAAATCCATGCACTTCACAAATATAGGCAAGCCCTATGTCACCTTCCATCATTATATTTCATTTTAATGGGGCCTGTAAATTCCTGACTGTGAACAATGACTTATTTGTAGTTCCATGCATATTTCAGGCTAAGTAGAAAATGTTCAGAAAGATATACCACGTCCACTCAACAAACAAGCATTGTGCAAAGATGTGCAATTTATTTCCAATCGCTTTTTACGATCAAATTGTATGCAGCTTTCATCTATATTTTCCCCCAATGCATTGCATTTTAGCAAATCATTTTTAAGACTCTCTGCCAATTTGATCTACTTTGAAAAGAACATAATTGTTTATGTGGGCATATTCATTAATAATATTACAGTGAGGGTTTAAGTTGCCAAGTTTTGGCTACAAATTATCATGTAGATTTTGCATTCTAAACAGCAGGGCACTTATCTTACATGTTTATAAAGCACCCTGCAACCCAAAAGGCTCTATTATAAACAGAGCTCACTGTAAAAACCAGATTTCTGGTTCAGGGGAAATTTGGACTTTTTAAAAATTAGTTTTGGCCTAAATCACAAAACTATTCTGCTTTGGAGACAAGATTTCTTAGACATTCAGTCTGGAAGGGACCCCGAAGGATCATCAAGTCCAGGGGCAGGAAGTCAGCAGGGATAATAGGATCCCAGCAAGATAAACATCCAAATGTGTCTTGAAGGCGTTCGAAGTAGGTGTTTGAACCACCTCCGGTGGCAGTCTATTCCAAAACTTGGGGGCTCAGACAGTAAAGAAGTTCTTCCTTATGTCCAGCCTGAATACTGCGGTCGTGGCGGAGTTTGTGACTGTTCAATCTTGTCATCCCTTGGGCCGCTCTGGCGAACAGATGTTCCCCCAGATCCTGGTGAACACCCCTGATAAGCTTATAGGTGGCCACCACATCCCCTCTGAGTCTGCTCTTTTCCAGGCTGAAGAGTCCTATGGCTCTCAGCCTCTCATCATAAGGTCTGCTTCCCTGACCTCTGATCATGCGCGTGGCTCTCCTCTGCACACTCTCAAGCTGCACTCTCAACTAAAAGAAGGTACTTGGCAAAACAATATGCTGCACCCAAGGTTTGCACCATTTTACCCCATAGTTGAGGGCTGTCAGGTCCCAGTAGGCTACGGAGACTGGAAGCCCAGAGTTCCTGGAGCCAGTGCAGTTAGCCTAGTATTGCTTCTCTGGAGCTACATCCTTGGAAGCATCAGTATCCCCAGCAGCCTGCCATGAATCCAGACAGGGTTCTGTGAGAAACCTGCTTTTGATTTGCTTTAAAACTTTGCTAAACTTGAGATGTTTGGGGCCAATATATTTGGGGATCTAGGATTTGACATGTTTCAGTGAACCTCTGTTTTGCTTAAAATCTTCCAACCAGTTATAATCAGAAATAAAAACACTCTTCTCAGGTTCTCTTACCTATTTTGATGCAAGTATCGCCTTGTGTCCTCTGCTCTCTGAAATTCTCTGATGGGCGCTGGCTTTACTGGTGAGCCCTAAAGCAAAATGAAAACGCAAGACAAAGTAAGCAACTTGGTCAAAGATTCAAGAATCTCTTTTGTCACACCAAACTAACGATAGGTATAGCATCAGCTTGCCTAGATGCAAACATATGATTGCTGGTTTTAAAAATCCCTGGCAAAGAAATGAAACACAAATCAAGAAGAATGCTGGCTCTTATGTAGGCTCGCTTGTGTTAGGCTGCACATAATTAATGGAAACTTGACTTTAAAGACTGAACATATCCGTCAAAGAATTGCAGTTTAAAAAACAGAACTGCTAGAGGTCTGGGGAAACACTAAGTACCCCTCAAAGCATTATAAAGGTAAATGGAAGGATTTATTGTAGTCTGAGCGTACTGTTTTGCTTTAGTGCCTCAAGCCCAAGGATATTCTCACACAAGGTGGTTGTGAAGTATGTAACATCATCCACTAAGCCGAGTCTCTTGTTACGCTTTGATACAGGGGCATGAATTCAGATTAGCATGGCATACAGACAGAAGGGTCATATTGCTTGATGCTTCCTGCATTTAATTTTAGTTTTATGAAGAGACTTTTCCATTTCCTAGTGTGCAGACTCCCACAGCAGGGATCAATTTCTGATGATGTGCGTACGGCAGTGGCTGCTGTAAGCAAAGCAAAGATGTTTTGCAGCTGCCAAGATTCAAACAATTTTACAGAAACTGTTGGGGAATTCTGGTCAAGCATATTTTAACTGGTGTGTTACCATAAAGCACTGAAATGAAACAAGAGAGTCATATTAGCGCGTTCTAGAAGTGATCACCTCTACTTCTTTAGAGATAGGCATTTGGAACTAGAATGGGACCACTGGAAGGAGCACTTAGTAACAACTTCTATTACAAGCAATGCATGTAAAAGTTATGCAAAAGCAAGTGAGATCCCGTTTAATGCATTCTGGGGAAATGTGGAGGAGACCACAGGCACCCAAAGTAATGTGAACTGCTACTAAGCTAGTTATATTTCTTGGATTTCTAAATGCACCGGTGCAGTTCAAATATCAGAAACCAGCTTTCAAACACTGGGATACTCAACTACAGAAAACAAAAAGGACATTGTTCAGGTTCGTCTGAAAGGATAAGCGCTGAGACCAAGTTCTTTTTTTGTTTTAATGGAAAAAAGCCACGTCTCAAGGATACTTATACTTGTTTCTAGTCGCTTGTAAACAATTCTCTAACGAGATTTTTAACATGCACTAGTAACCCACCTTTATTGACCAATTGCTGGATCCCAGGATTGACTCAGAATGATATCATGTCACACACTTATCTCAAAACACAGAATTTTTGTTCAGAACCGCGCTGCAAATGCACTCCCAGTCTGAAGTCCTGGTAATGTTACAGAGTGTTACTGAGGATACCAACACAGAGCAAGCAATTGTTGTGGACAAGTATGATCTCCTAGCTCATTTAAAATCCATAGTTAAAAGTGAGAGATCTGCCATGTTTCAGGGGTACAGGTTGTAGCCGTGGTGGTCTAAGGACACAGGCAGACAAGGTGCTTTGGGTAAATCCGATATCTTTTACTAGACCAATTCAAATAGTTGGAAAAATCCTTCTTTGCAAGCTTTCGGGTACAAACACCCTTCTTCAGGCTGAGGAAGTCTGCAGTTGTTCTGCACTCCTCCTGGATGGAATGGAATAGAAACCAGAGGCCAATATGCAAGAATACCAATCAGTGAAAATGCAAACTGAGACAGTCAATTGGTGAGAAATGGGTGTGGGGTGGAAGGGGAATGTAGACCTGGGGATAAGATATGGCTGGTCAATAGTAGAGGTTACCTGGGGTATCAGAAGTTAGGCAGGTTATAATGTGCCATAAATCCAATGTTTATATTTAGTCCATGATTGATTTAATCAGAAATTCAATAATCATCACCCTTCCATGAGACAATCTCTTGAATACTCCAGAACCAACATTTCCTTTTTAAACACTATGATCACAATCCAGAATGGTAAAATATAGACTACCATATATATATACACATGACATTCACAGACCAACATACACATCTGCACAAAACCAGCAATCACCTTGAACACACCAAGAAAGCTGTAATATACAGCCATGCCCTCCGATACCACCGAATTTGCACTGAGAACACCCATGATCGTCACCTCATGAATCTCAAAAGGGATTTCACTCAACAAGGACATTCCACTAGAGAGAGAGAGATCGCACTTCTGAAAGACACACCGGGATACCACATGAAGAATTGCTACAGTACAGAAGGAAAACCCCCATGAATTGCACACCACCAGTTATGATATCATCCTTCCCTAGAACCTATATGGAAAATCCTCAAACAACTGCAACCCATAGTAGAAGACGACCCAGTTCTTAAAGAGATCGTCTCAGAAGCACCCATCCTAGCCTTTAAACAAGTACTGAACCAGCCTCATCACCAGAAGCAAACTTCCTATGTCCCAGAACACACTGAATGGATCCAGACTGTGCCATGACAAGAAATGCAAAACCTGCCAACACATCTCCACCACCCCCACTATTACTACACCCCACAACAGAACCGTCTCCATTCCTGGATCTTACACCTGCACCTCCAGAAATGTTATACATCTCATCCAGTGCGCCAAATGCCCCGAGGGAAAATATGTAGGAGAAACCAAACAACAACTGAGTACCAGAATGAAGACCTATCAAAGATAAAAATACCCAATTACTTGTGGGGGCACATTTGAAAAAATTATTAAGGATCACATTTGTGGGAGTCCAGTGGGAAAAACAATGCTGAAGGGCAACCAGCTTGGATTCATAGCAGGTAGATCCTTCCCGACTAACCTTGTTTCTTTTTACGACCAGGTCACAAAATGCTTAGATGCAGGAGTCAAGGTAGATGTCATTTACTTGAATTTCAAGAAGGCCTTCGATAGGGTATCTCATTATATTCCCATAGATAAACTGAGTGACTGTGACGTAGATGATTACACAGTCAGGTGGGTGGCAAATTGGCTTAGGGGGTTGCACCCAGAGAGTGATGGTGGACAGGTCGGTATCGACCTGGAAAGAAGTAGGCAGTGGAGTTCCGCAAAGCTCGGTGCTTGGACGGGTGCTGTGCAATGTCTTCATCAGTGACTTGGATGAGGGTGTGGAAAGCACTCTGTCCAAATTCACAAACGATACCACATTATGGGGCAAAGTAAACACACTAGTGGGCAGGGAATGAATCCAGGAGGATCTGGACAGGTTGGAAAAGTGGGCAGAACAGAACAGGATGCAGGTCAACAAAGATAAGTGCAAAGTGCTGCACCTAGGAAGAAGGAATCACCAGCGTGCTTCCAGGCTGGGGGACGACCTTCTCAGCAGCACAGCGGAGGAAAAGGATCTTGGAGTCATTTTTGACACCAAGATGAGCATTAGTCATCAGTGTGACAAAGAGATCAGTAAAGCTAATTGCACTTTATCATGCATTAGCAGGTGACAATCTTGAGAGGGTTCAGAGGACCACTTGTATGGTTAGGGGCCTGCAGGTTAAGCCCTATGAGGAAAGATCCAGGGACCTGGATCTCTTCAGCCTCTGCAAGAGAAGGCTGAGAGGTGATCTTGTGGCCGCCTGCAAATTCATCAGGGGAGGACAGCATGGAATAGGAGACACTCTGTTTACCAAAAAATCATGGACTAAATATAGACATTGGATTCATGGCACATTATAAACCTGTCTAACATCTGATACCCCAGGTAACCTCTCTAATTATTTACCAGCTGTACCTTATCCCCAGGTCTACATTTCCCTTCCTGTTTCTCACCCACTGACTGCCTCAATTTGCATTTTCACTGGCTAGCACTCTCGCATATGGGCCTCTAGCTTCTATCCTATTCCATCCAGGAAGAGCACAGAACTGCAGACTTCCTCAGCCTGAAGAAGGGTACTTGTATCTAAAAACTTGCAAAGAAGAATTTTTCCAACTATTTCAGTTGGTCTAATAAAAGAAATCGGATTTACCCAAAGAACCTTGTCTAGTTAAAAGTGATGCTCGTGATGATAAATGTGTTGACAATTGACATATTTCCCACCAAATGAATGGAGGAGCAAGGTCCCTGTAACAAATACATATGCTGACAAAAATCAACGTGTTACTTGTGTTTCAAACTCAAACAAGCCAGCATTTGTTAGACGTTACCAAATGAAGCGGACAGGAGTGGTTTTCTAGATACGGGCGTTTACTAACAGGGAAGTGTCAACTTCCACAGTTTTCGTGGGAGCGGTCCCTTTGGAAACTCAATCACCTCCTCCACACAGTAGAGCATTAACTCGCAGGATTCCTGCCTCTGAGCAAAGCTTAATGCGGCCTGGAGAACCATTTTGCAAGCCTGAGGCAAGTGCTGCTTGGAGCATCTTGGGACTTGAACTGTGGCCCTACACAAAACGCTGCACTGTGCTGTTACTCCAAGCTGACTCTTACACTCTTCACCAAAGAAAACCTCTGTAGACAAGAAGCATTAACACCATCACAAAGGCTTTCAGTGGATAAATGAACTTAAACTAATTTAAACAAAAGCACCACCTCATTAGAGATTCGCCGTTGTTCAATATATGCCATGAACTGCGAGCTGAGGCTGGCTGACTCCATGCACTTGGGTTGCCTCACCTCTTCCTCCTCCTCTTCGGTGGCACAGCTATCGATATAGTCGATCTGATCCAGATCATGTTCCACTTGACACACATACACAAAGGAAACATCCATAATTAGATAAGCAGCAGGAGTAAAAAAGAAAAACTAACATAAGAGCAAATATCTCAGGAACTAAAGTCTGACAACACTTTTCTTCTCTTTGGGAAAATCCACATGGGCATTTTGTGCCTTCTGCCTGGTTTGCTAATATTTGGTAAATACCAGATTTTGAAACAATCTTTTAACAGTTGATTAAAAAAAATTGAACGAGAAGAACTATACACCAGGCAGGTAACAATTTTAAAGCTTTGACCATATAGAATTTCCCAACTGTTAGAAAAGCATTTGCACTTTGACCAAGTATTAACAACAGTAATAATGTGCGTTTGGTTGCAATTACTACGTCTCTCTCTCGGACGTGTTTTATGAGCAAGCAAGTACCATCAATTTACACCAAACTATACATAAAATGGTAAAACAAATTGATGAATTATAATAGGCTACAGTTAGATAGATAGTCTTTCATGACCTTTGCTCACTTCAGCAGGGTTTAGCAATTCCTTCTTCAAACATTATAATGATGGAACCTGCCCCCAAAGCAGTGCGGTACTAGGTCTCATGAGGTCCCTTTCCAGCCCTCCTTTCCTATGATCCTACCAGCATAAACCTAGACAGACTCTGACCAGAATAAAAACATAAGAGAATAGCTAGCTGTGTATGACTGCTCTAAGCCTGGAAAGTATGCAATTATGCCAGTCAAACCCAAAGAGTGCAGAAGTTTTACTTAAAAAAGAGGAAGGAAGCAAAAAATAGGGAACCACTGAAATGAGATGGGAGTGTGAAGGGCAGGGCACAGTTCTGTTCTCACTGATTTCCCTCTTCAGCAACCCCCGAAGGCCAGGATGCTATCTGGGGCATTTCCTTATGCACCACTGCTTCTGTAAGGTTCTGAAAAGGGGGGTTGGTGTCAAGACAGCAAACAAGGATCCTGGTGAAGAACACCGAGCTGCTAGACAAGACATCCAGAGCACTGTGAAGACTCCCTAACACCAACTCCCCAAGCCCTAATGCACTGCTCTCCATCACCCCTTACCAGACAGCTCATGGTAACACAGATGAAGATATGACACAGGCAGAGGACTATAAATGGGGGGAGATGCAGGCATTTTGAAAGGGCTGTCCTACCAAAATTACTGCAGTCTGCCCCCCTGCCCTTAGCTCTCCCTGGCTTGACTAGGACAGTTCTCTCTCACCCTCGTTGCACTGCGTCACTCCAGCCACTCAAAGCACCTTTCCTGAGTCTTCCTTCCTCGTGGAATCTCCTCCATCTTTTCCAAATCTCAGTTGAAAACCTCTCTCTCTCGGCCACGTAACTCAAACGACTTGCAATGGCACCACATAATTCCTTTCATAAACTTATCACGCTCCACGCTACTAGTCAGGACTTCGACATGCCATTTGTATGAAAAGCCCTAGAACAAATTAAAGTTGCTATCGTAGGTGGGGCTGGCAGCACAGTGTGTTATTAAGGTTGTGCAACGCTTCCCTTCTTATAGCTTTGCCAAGATGTAACTGTTTTGGCTGTGTTTTTGTTTTATCATCATCTTTTTATTTCAGCCAAAAATGGATTAGTCTTTTCTAAGAATGAGACTAAGGAAAAATACAAATGTGCCTGAGACGAGGCAACTGGAAGAAAAAGCCGAGGGAGAAGAGGGGAGACTGGGATCAGAGGCTGCTTGAGGCGGAAGACAGGAAACTAAGAGTTGAGGTAGAAAGGCAGATTGGCTCGGTAAGGAGATTGGGGCCAAGGATGGTGGAAAAGAGCTCAGGGAGACTGGGACCCTCTGTACAGAAAGACTGAGAATGAACGGGATAGGAAGGTGATGGAGAGGGGAGGCAGATCTGGGGAGGAGCCAGGGTAAAAGAGTGGATGAGGAGCACATGCAGGCAGGGTGGATTGATTTAAAATCAAGGCGATTTAAATCACTGATTTAAATCACCAAGAGAAACCCCCTGATTTAAATCAAGTTTTCCACTGATACTTATTCACGTATTTCTTAAACAATGGCGCAAATCTGATCGCTAGAGCATGTTAAATTTACAAGTCAATACAGCATTTTACATCTGTCCTTAAACTCTTTTTTTTTTTAATTTTCAAATTTTACCAACTCTGACAGACACGTCATCACAACACTAAACAGGCTGTCCTTAAAACTTCTACAACTAGATCTCATCCACCCCACTCTTACTGTCATTTTTATTCATAGCCCGAAACAGAAATAACAGTTTACCTGCTTTTTCAACTCCCAGTCGATTTCTTAGCTTTGAGTGAATAATCCCAAACGATACCAAACCATGTCTGATTGGTAGGTAACTTAATGTCTGTGAGTGTGACAGAGCCATTAACTCATTGTTATGAGACTGTAAGTGTAGGTTTAGCATGCTTGTGATGAGATTTAATTGAAACTGTTATTTTTTAAATGAGAGAGAAATTTACTATTTTATTGATGATTAAAAAAAAAATAAAAAATCTGATTTAAAATTTTAAAAATCTGATTTAAATAAAAAATCCATTAAAAAAAAAAAAAATCACTGATTTTTATTCACCCTGCATGCAGGGAAGCCAGCAGACGGCGAGGAAAGGGAATGTGATTGGGGATCAGCATAGGCTACAATGGAGGAGACTGATCAATCAACTAAGAAAGGGATGGTACCAGGAATTAGCATGTACCAGGCCAGTCAGCTGGTACTAAGATGAAAGTCCTCATGAGCAGATGAGGACTAGGACAAGAAACTAGTAGGCAGAAAAGAGAGAAGACGGTGAGGCTGGAGGGAATGGGATGATAGGGATCACACTGCAGGGGAAGGACAAAAGTCTATGCTTGCTAAAACAACCTGTTCACAGCCTGGGATTCCTGAATCTCAGCACCCCTCTGCTTTTAGTAAAATAGGGAATCCTTTGGTAAACTGTCTCAGTGCCCTCAAGTATTGGTGCATGTAGAGGGTGACAATCTCCCATGCTATCCATGAAATCCTTTTGCTCAAGTGGCAGAGATGTATGCAGTAAATGTTCCCATCCTTGATGGCCTCACGGCTGCCTCCAGACGAGTGTGGCTGTGCAGTATGTGGTGTTGCAGACACGTCTGTGGCACCACATACCACACATTCAGCTGTTCTCCATGCTGCAAGGGAGCAGTGCAGGGAGGGGGTTTGACCCAGGGGTCAAAAAAAAAAAACACCCCACGTGCAAAAAAAGTGGAGTAGCACACATGGGGACAGCATGTGCCACTCAAAACTGGAGCCTGGCTGGCCAGAGCCATGCTCCAGCTGCCAGCCAGACTCTGCACGGCAGGATTGCCGCTGCTGCAGCGGCAGGATTTCCTCTGCTGCAGCCCCAGGATGCCTTAGCCTCCCCTATCCCAGCAGGGGAAACCAGCCACATGCCAGAGGGTGCATGGCACAGGCATTCCCTGGGGACAACTAGCAGTGGCACAAGGTGTCCCACTGCTAGTTTTCCCTGAGGGAACCAAATGCCCACGCTTGTGTGGATGCAGCCTACGAGTGCCAATATTTTGTAGGTTACAATAGCAGGGAATCACATGATTGAAGGCAGTTTCATAGAGCCTTTTGCAAAAAAGAGGCTGGAGTAAAGTTGTCTAAGATGTGTTTAAGTCTGGTAAATGTCATGATCTTAAAAGCATGCTACGAATGCAGCTTTTTAGTGTAATGATAAATATAACTGAGTCCTCCGTGACACCTTTTCCCTCAAAGAGCCTATTGCCTAGAGCAGATACGCACTTTGGAGCTTCAACATGTACAATCAGATGTTTACCTCCACCATTAGTCACAACAGCACTCCCTCGGTTCTCCTGGTATTGATTTTCTCTCCGCAGTCGCTGCTCTTTAGCGATCTCTGCCACTCGCAGAGGGAGGTCTGAGAACTCATCTGTAGGCTTTACAAAACAAACAGTGACAGTCAAGAAGCAGCCCCTCTCGCTGCAGGCATACATGTTCAGTTATCTTTACCCTTCCCTGGGCTTCTTATTCTGACCTTCCCGCTGGGCACTGCTCTCACAAAGACGAATTCCCAGGGATCTCTCACTAAAATGTGCTGCTTTTATATCGAGGGCCATGAACAGCCTGTCCAAAACTTTAATTTACTTTTCCTTCAAAACTGCATGGATAGACAACACGCACCCAAGGTGGGGGTGGTCAAGATCCTTGAATGCCACCAGTCTGGGGTTGAGGACACGCATGGAGCCCAGGGCTCCCATGAACACGCCAGGCCTGACCTGCTGCCATTTGCTGTTTCCCCAAAAGGACACAGGAGCTGTCCGTCTCCTGAGAGCAAGAGACAGCCTCCTCTTTCCTGTGACTCTTAAATAGCAGAGATACACTTCTGCCCTTTGAAAAGCTACATGTAAATTGGGAAACTGAAAGTCATCGCACTGAGAACCTTCGTTAATTTTAAAAAAGCTGCTTACTTGATTTTGTTTAATGAACCAGGAGCTGCACAAATTATGACACGATACAACAACTAGCATGACCTTCCATAATTCTCCTAGTGGAGTAGGCTAGTATTAATGTAGCATATTTTTAAAAGATGTCTCAATAAAAATATTAATAAGGAAATGACACTTTAGAGTTGCACTAATGTTAGTGAGTTCCCTCGCATATTCAGACTTCCACGTTATGCCTCTTTTCTACACAGTATTACCCCAAGAAGAAGAAAACTACACTTACTTCGTTCCCTGACCATCTTTTGTCTCCGCTGTCCACACTATTGAAGCCAGAATCTAGTGCTCCATAAGGACGACCCGAGTACAGCTCCTCATGACTGTCAAGCAGATCATTTGTATTACTGGCATGTCAAATATCATGGAAAAATTGTTGTTTGTTAAAGAGCTAAAAGCCCGAATTAGCTACTTAGCTGAAGTGAATGGTAACCACTAGCTCAGCATATTACAAGTCGTCATATTGTATTTGCTATGCATAATATATTCTAAGAGGATATAATCTTCCAAATACAAACATTACCATCTGTTAGCCTACTGTCTGACCCAATGCATCTGTCCCGGTCTTGGAAGAGCTGATCTGACAGTATGAATTTAGCCTTGCCACACACCATCCAAAACACAATCCTGATAAAGGTGATTCCTTTGCAAACTGGCCTATTAATATCTTTCCTTCAGCAAGTCTATTTAGTTTGTGAGAGAGACTTGGGTGTTTTAACTGAATGACTCTTCTGCTCTCCTTCAAAGAACCCACTTTTTCATAAGTAATCTCACAAGCACATAAGCATGCTTATTCCACAGACACATAATTGTATGAGAGTGCATCTCTTGGAAGAAGCATGACAATATATAATGCACATGCATTATACATCTCTTTTCTGTACCATGTGTTAATCATCTAAATGGCTCCATATATAGATGCTAAAAATGCGTTTTAAATAATACATCACTGCTTGAGTGATATACAGCACACATTTAGTCTTCACCCATTAAGTTGACTTTGTCAACAGCATGTCTAAAAGACAAATGTGCTATTACATAAGTGCTACAAGGGGTTAAAATATAATGCATATTATAAGGGGCTATACGAGACTCTTCCTGCTCTAAGCAGGCACAGAGGCTACACAATTCAGCAGTGTGGACCATCACAGATGTCAAGTCTGGCAACTGCTGCAGACTGCCACAGCGACAACGTAACAATGGGACTTGTCTGATCCACTGCAGATGGCATGTCACAATGGATCAACTGTCCTGCTGGCACCCAGTGCCCTGGGGGAGAATCCCAACAAATAGCAATTGCTGCATAATACACAAGGAAGAGCTTCAGGAAGCTGAAGGCTCCACCCAAGCACAGCTAATTGCAGGTCATTCTCTCCCTGCTATCTCTCTCAAGTTGTCACTCTCTTTAAACTCCCCCCCTTATCCAGGAAATACTTAGTTTAAAATGTCTGTCGTTAGCATTATTTATGAAGCACCCCTAAGTGTGCAGGGTGCTTCACAGAAATAAGCGACAGGCAACTTGTCCTGTGCAATTTGCAGTTCTAGACAGACATGACATAGTGACAGCGAAGGAAAGCAGCCAAGTGCAACAGCCTGACACTTATTCTTATGTCCAGACCCAGAGCTGGGCCTGCGAAAGGACCCAGTGTAGGTATCCTTTCGAGCCTGCTCCAAACTTTGTTTGAGACAGTAAGGCTCCATGGATGCAGACCTGTATGCTGAGCAAAAAGATATGGGTTATGGACCCGCAGCAGAAATATGGAAAAAAATACCTCCCCTTCTTTTGGGTAGAGGGAAGCAGAACAAATCGTGAATATGCTCAAGGTAATTTTAAAAAATTTGCTTTTTCATATGTATTCGTCTGTGTCAGAAATTTCTTTTTACAGAAACAGAAAAAAATGCCTATAGTAGCCCGGTGACTACCAGCTACTCAGCTTGTTGTACCGTTGGAGCAAAAGGACAACCTAAAAAAGTATAATACAGATAAAGGTAATACTGTAGTCCAGGTAAGGAATAGAAAAAATGATTCAGACAGCAAAATACATTGTCTACAGAGTGACTGTATTTAAGAGATAAGGGTTCACAGTAAGGAAATACTGGATTAATAACATGGTGTTTAGAGGCTGTAAAGGGAGAAAGAAGCTGGTTTCCATGGGGTCTGCCACTATAATTCCATTTTAATTGCAACAGAATCTAGAGAATCAGGTTTTCACCTAAATAATTAATTAAAACCAAAGTGTCCAAGTAACTCTTCATTTATCAGTTTCAATCCAACAAAACCACTATTGTTACATTTCTATCCCACTCAGTTAAAACATGCGAGAAACATTTCATTTGTCACAAAGAACAATTTTTCCAACTATTTAGTTGGTCTAATACAAGACATCACATTTACCCAAAGAACCTTGTCATCTAGCACTGAATCTCTCTGACAACTAACAAATTCAAAATCACAGTTCCTTTCTACCTCAAACCATACTTTCCATTTCCAGGATTCAGAGTAATCTGAAAACAAGGGTTACTGACTGCCAGACAACAGCTTTTATGAAATCAGCTGAGAGTACAGAGATTATTCCTTACTGACCAACTGGTGACAAACAAGGATTAAGTAATTAGCTCTTCCGCAGAGCATTTCTGGGGGGATTACAGAACACCTGGGGTGCTACATGCAAGGCATAAAGCTAAAGGCAGAGGAGCTAACTATCTGAGAATGGTAATAACAACTCTAAAATCCACTGCCTAAAAAAGGCTTTTGGCACTGAAATGGAATATATCCATAAAAATCACTTATTCACTTACAGCCGGAGCTCCAAAGCCACATCATGATACATGCACATATTTCTATATTGAGACTACGGTTATGAGAGCTTTTCCAAACTTAACTAGTCCAAGGATTCCTACTCATCCATGTGCCAGTACTTGAGACGTTTAATGCTTCTGCTCCAGACCTCGCCTCCCTACCTTAATGTCAAAGCTAATGCTAAGCTCCCAGAGGCCATTGCTGTTCTGTTTTCCATTCAGTCATGCTCTTGAGTGCTCCAAATTGCAGTCTTGCAACTGAGACACTGGTTTGGAGACTACTACAGGATAAATTTTGGAGAACATTATCAGAGTCTGCAGACACTGTTAAGGTCAAGGTTTTATTCTGGTAAACTGAAACAGTCATCATCTAAAACGACAAGGAACTGGCTTAGTTTTATTAGAAATATTTATATGTTTAAAAAGTGTTCTGTAATCAGGAAGTACAATGATACAGCGATGCTGACCGTGTTGTGGTATAGCTTGCATGCTACAGCTCTGTCCGCTTCATCAGAGAAGTTTGTATATGAGTAAGAAAGCACTAAAAACCCTAGTTTTGAAACCAGCTTTGCAGCAAGACAGACTTTACTCCTCAAGTTTAATTCCATGCTTTCTCAACCTCACTAGGGGGACCAGATAACCTCTTAGCAGCAGATACAGATCAGATGCAACAACCTTTGGTAACTCGGATCAGAAAACTCTGCTGACTTGCCTGTGGATGCTAACTGGAGTACGTATACTATCCTGTTTTTGAATCGTTCTGTTCATCTCCCAAATTCTAGATTTTGATTGGGGCAAAAGGTCATCTTTTTCACATGCACTTGCTCAACATGCACATGAAACCACACGGGGAATAACTGAAGCTGGTTGGTACATGACAATGAGCAGGTGAACAAGCAGAGTCCTGTCACCCTCTTTTTCAGGCAGTTCAGCTCCATTTTTTAGACCGTGTCCTGGCGCAAGAACTTTTCAGATGCCCAATAGGGATGGGTGTCCAGGGAAATACCAGACAGCTGAAGCTCATTCCACACATGATGGAAATGAAATTCATAGCAGACTCCAGAAGAATCTCCATCCTTGGAGGTTTTTAAGACCCAGCTAGACAAAGCCTTGGCTAGGATGATATAGCTGGGAATAGTCCTGCTTTGTGTAGGAAACCGGACTGGGGTGGGCAATTATTTGGGCCTACGGGCCACATAGGCAGTTCTGAGGAACTGCTGCAGGCCGATCAGCACTCCCCTTCCTCCCCATAACAGCCTGAGCCCATGCCACCGCCCCAGCATCCAGCAGCAGCTGAGCGCCTGGGCCCAGAGCCCACCCTGCATCTGCTGTGGACTTGTCCTGGCCGAAGCAGACCAGCTCTGGACCAGCTGGGACCCACACGCACAGGCCCGACCCTGGCCTGCTTGCTCCGCACCAGCCTAGCCATGCTGAGCAGTGGCAGCAGTGGTGGTGGTTGGGCAGAAGGTGCTGCTGAGCACTGGGGAAAAGCAGCTGCCTCCCCCTCACTGCTGCTGGGCCCTTCTTGCTGCAGCCACCCAGACCTCAAGCCCAGGCTGCCCTGCAGCTCCTCTCTGCTGCCACCACTGCCGGCTCCAGGTTGCACAGAGGGGCAGAGTGGCAGGGCAGATGAGCTGCAAGGCAGCCTGGGTACAGGCTCTGGGAAGCTCCAGCAAGAAGGGCCCAGCAGTTGTGAGGATGGGGTAGCTACTTTGCCCCTGTGCCCAGCAGCAGCTTCTGGTGGTCCAGAGAAGGCATGCAGTGGGCCGGGGTCGTATGCACGGATCCCTCTGGGTCCAGAGCAGGCAAAGGATGGGGCCAGGCCAGGGCTCTGCATGCAAGTCCCTGCCAGTATTATAGGTCTGGGGCCAGTGCTGTCGGCAGCCGGAAGGAGCCGCTGCCACCTGGCTGCCTAGAAATGCAGTCCAGCCACAGAGCCACCCCAGCCCCACTGCGCGCTTGGGGGCAGTGTGATGCATCACGGGCCAGACAGCACCTGGGCCAGGTGGGACCGAGGGACCTGCTACAGGCTTGATCCAGCCTGTGGGCTGTATTTTACCAACCACCTGGAGTAGATGGTCTCTTGAGGTCCCTTCTAACCCTAATTTTCTATGAAGCATCTTGAATGAGTTTTGCCAACCCTTTTATATTGGTATTGCGAGTATTGGTAAAATTAGTGAATTATTTTCAGCATATGAAATGAAAACCTTAGCAGTTATACTTTGGAGAGTTAACTACAGTGGAGAACCACAAAATAAAGTCAATAAGCCTATGGTCCAGTGGTTGATTTTATACTTTTCAAAAGAAATGACAACACATTATGTTGAAGATCAATAGCTTTAGATACAGTTCACTAGACTTGGCAATTTATGTCACCGAAAAAGCATGACCTAGTTTCTTTAGGCTTTCTGAAAAGCAGCTCTCTAAATCCCTGCCTCAGTTTAATTTCTGTAATATGTTCCTTATCACAGCAAAGGTCAAAGATAATATCACGCGGCTTAGCTAGCAAGGAGCCTCAATACTTTAAAAATCAAACTGCATCCCAGTTGTGGTCTCACTAGGCCCACATACAGGCTAGTAACACATACCCTGATTTATCTGCCATGACTATTACTGCTTTGACTCAAATCTAAGGTCAACCCTAAATTCAAGACCAGTTTCCCCAGTAATTAGATCTTATATATGGAAACTTTATAAATTGTTTTATAATTTTCAAGGTATAGAAACTAATTATCAGAGGGCTGTCTTGAATTCACCCACATCCATTGCTACAGCAGGGGAAAACAGAGGCTGGGAGTAGGGGTCATGTGGCCCCCTTGCCTTGTGCTCCCCTGACCACTTCTTCCCCCTCCCACATACCTGACCCCCATGCCACCAACACACCCCCACCCCCAACTCCCCACAGCCTCTGCCCCTCCGCCCACTCTTACTGTCGTGATGCTGCTGGGGCTTTACGTCCTTCCAGAGTCCTTGCTGGGCCAGTCAACAGTGTTGGTGCTGCTGACTGGCTGGGCAGGGAACGGAGTTTCCATGTTCTCTGTGCCTGGGAAGGAATCCAGCCCCAGCTGTGCCAGGCAGTAAGGGGGAGAAAGGAGGGAGAAGAGGGGGCAGAAGTACAAGGAGGTAGCGGGGGCAGGAGATTGCTATGGGTCTGTCTGTGGCCCCAACCAAGGCTCAGGGCCAGAATTAGAGCTACAGCAGCTGCATGCCCCTCATTCGCTTTGAAAGCAAATCTAAAACGAGGGCCTTTTCCCACTCCCATGTTGACTGGGGGGGGGAAATGGGATGACGGGACAGACCCTTGTCTTAGATTTGAGTAAATACAGTATTTATTTTGAGCCAAGCTAACGTGCTTGGTGCTGTGCAAACACAGTCCCTGCCCCAAGAGCCTGAACTCTGAATAGATGTGTAAAGTGCACAAAGTGTTTGTGTTGAACCTATCTAATGTGGATGCAGAACCAAAGGGGAGCTCTCTGTCGGCCCGTGATGCAAATCCTCTGTCACAGCTCTTTGGTACAACTATGCTGGCTCCTTTGCTTTACTTCTTATCTTTGGTTTGTGTTTCCTTGGTTGTCTATGCTTCTACTGTACCGTGTCCCAAGCCACTGCTGGATGTACTTCTCTACCCACTTCCTCCTACCCAGCATGCACCAAATCCCCAAAGTGATCTTGAAAACAAGCCAATAAACACACCCAGTGCAGAAAGCTGAAGAGCTCAGGACCATTCTTTGGCACCTACACTGTCTCAGTTCCCAGGCTCTTGGACACACTGAGGAGGAGCGAGTGGGCAGGGCATGTCATAGTGCAGTCCCTAGGCATGGCACCAAGGTGGGGCAGGTGCTCCGACTGCTTCTCAGACAATAGCGTGTGCTTTGAAGGCTTATTCCCTGTGGCACAGCCCTACTTTGGATGGTCACTGAGTAGATACTCCTGTAGTCCCATACCTTCTTTTCTCTATACTGCCTAACACAAATAAATAAACAATAAACTCCTACTCTTCTCCAGACATCTTACTTGAGCAGCTGATGCAAATGCCCGCTCCAATATTTGTGTTACTGGGCAAGCATTTGTGCCAAATGAAAGCCTGCCAAGAACAACAGTTTGCTAATGGGGTGGAGAGCAGCATTTACACCTGTGGTTAGGGCAGGACAATCATCAAATGCTGCACGAGAGGCTAAACATTTCAGCAATCTCATACTGTAGTAAGCTGTGGGAAAAGGTCAAGATCTTTTTTGAACCCAAAACATACGTTAATGTCTGAAAAATAAATTGAATTTCCCTGCATATATAGCCTAAAAATCACTACTCTTCCTAGACACATGCCCTTTAGCACTGGCTTAAGTGTAGTATTGTCTACATCTTCCTTCTAATCTCCTCTCTGCTGCTTTGTTAGCTGAATCCCCACTAGACTACCCCACAGGGAGAGACGGATAATAATCTGCTTCAAGGTGACAATTATAAGTGAAAATGCACTGATCAACAAGCAATCCATAGATCTAGTTTCTGTCAATCCTAAACTCATAAGGCTGGAAGAATTTTCCTAAACCATGTCAAAACAGGAAATTTTGAATTCAGATCAACTTACCAAGAGCCAAATCCCATAGGTCTCCTGTCATAATCAGGCAAATCCGGAGCTGTCTTACATGCTTCTATGTTCAGGTATTTAAATATGTGGATTTTTCCTTTTATACATATCTACAAAAGAGAATCTGTAAGTTTCAAAAGACTGAACAGTAATTAGCAGTTGCCACTAATAAATCAGCAAGCTCAATTGTCAATAAATAAACCTTTCATCTATTCTTCTAACCTTTCTCCCATTTTAGATAAACCTGCATATTGAAGACCAAACATAATAAAATCAACTGGAAGCCATTCTGCAAGAACATCTGGGGCCCTTTCTGAGAGCTGGCTGAGGATGCTTTGTCATGTGAACAATGAGGTACATACATTTGTACAGAGTAAAACTTACACCGCTTGGCACTAAAGCTGAAGCGACCAAACCCTGCCCGAGTAAGAATGGCAAAGGCAGGTTGCCAAAAGTCAAGCTCACATGTCAATCACGTGAAGCTGATTACAGCTATCTTCATTTTTAATATAGACGCTGGGTCCATGGAAACTACACGTCTTGGCTTGTGCCACTGATCTGCCACAGAGAGAAAGGAGGCCACGGTATGACCTGCAGGTCCCATAGGAAAGTTTAAGTCAGTCATTGACCACACTGCCTTCAGCCCACAGGCTGCATTCTGGGCAGTCTATTGTAAAGTGAATGACAATGCATCTAGTTTTAGGTTCCCAGGTCAAAGACTGGCACAGATATTGCTAATTCCCCACAGGCATCCTCTCCCACAAAGCTTATTCTGACCTAGAGTTGCTTGCTTATATCAATTCTACAATGAGGATTTAATTCAAAAAGCTAAAGGAAGTCCTGCCATAAACACGTCTGATACCACTAGTTTGACAAACAAGGAAAAAGGGAGGTGAGGAGGATTTGTTCCATGGATTAGATCCTAAATACAGCTCACCTGTGCAGGGGGTGACTGTAGAGGGTTGTTATCTAGTGTAATTGTCTGAAGATGCCTGAGGTTCCGGTAACAAACAGGGATTGTGGTTATTTTATTGCAGGAAAAATCTAACCGAATCAAAGGCAGTTCTGCAAGCTCTGGTGAAAGAAAATAAAACAGCTTTAAAGCAACAAGAAAGCATAAATTTTCATGCCTGAATTCATAAGTCAAGTAATAATGGAGTTTACTACTTGCTCTAAAACCAAAAAATCCCCCCACACCTTTAACACAAGAACCTAAATGCCAAAAATCTAGCTGTTACACGTGGCCACCTTTCATTTGTTCATCTTACCTTCAGGTAACCGCAGCAAATGATTTCTTCTAACATTCAGGTCCCGCAAGGATTCCAGATTGCCAATCTGGGGAGGTATCATCTGTATTTCGTTACAGCTCACATCCTGAAATGCAAGACGACTGGATGAACTATTGTTTTGATATGGTCACTCTGCCCCTTTAAAAAATCCCAACACCAATCCCTGCCCCTCTGTTAAGTGAGAGACAGCTCTATTTTAATTATAAACTTAGAAAAGATAAGCAATAATATCACACCTAAGGTTCTCAAAATGCTTTGCTAACATTAATTTAGTCTCATTGCTGAGATGTAGGCAAGTATTATACCCGTTTTACAGAACTGGAAATGGGGATGCACAATAAAGAAGCAGTATTTTGGTGTCCCAGCTAGATAACCGTAATACCAGGAGCAGAATCCAGGAAATCTGACACTAAATGATACAGGCTTTGGACAAATTATACAGAAAAACTGGAAGTAAATAACAGTTCCAGGTATATTAAATCGGCCAACTAGTATGTTACTATACACTTCAATTATTCCTCTAAAGTCTTCCCATTTCCAAGGAGATAAGAGCTAACTCTGAGAGTTCATTTGCAGGGACTGACTACTTTGCATGGACTTTTAAAATCTTCAAGACTTCGAGGCACTTTCACAAATGACAATACACAAACCAAATAAAATGCAAAGTGAACTGCCAGTACAGAAGTCAACCACCACAAAAGTAATACTCATGCAAATTAAATGTAGCCCTTGCCCCACATGTCAAAATACAAAACAAGAACAACCTCCCCACCTTCCTCCCCTGCAAAAAAACCCCAAACCCCGTATGTTATCTGCATGACCCAAAATGTATAAATCTATTTTCCTGAAGTGGGGGAAAAAAGGGTTTCTTTAAAAATGTATTGGGGGGCGGGAGGGGGGAGGAAGTGTGCTCAGCCCAGGTTCCCTCAAAGAAGATGCCCTGACACCAGCCACACTCTCAAATCAGGGAGGCTTAAAGTATTTTTGTCGCAAATAGCATCATTTATATCAGCCACTGCCATATACAGAGAGAACCTGGGACATCAGGCTCCAGTTAGTACAGGTCTGTCTACTCTAATTCAGGACAGAAGCAGGAAGCCAGAGCCAGCAAAGGGAATGCTACTCTGGACTGGGCAATGTCTGGCTAATAAGCAGGTCTGGCAGCACTGAATTTGCTAGAAATAAGTTCCAGACTCTTACTTCAGGTTATTCTAGAACCACAATATCCAAATTGTTCCCAATCTTTAATGCATTTATTCTCATACAAGCATGTTTATGTGAGCTATGGCATTGCTATGAAGCCCCATTTCACAGCTGGAGAAGTGCGGCCCTACATGACTTCATGGAATCATAGAAAAATGAGGGTTGGAAGGGACCTCAGGAGGTTGCATCTAGTCCAACCCTCTGCTCAAAGAGGGACCAGCCCCAACTACATCATCCCAGCTAAAGTTGTCTAGCCAGGTCTCAAAAGCCTCCAAGGATGGAGATTCCACCACCTCTCTGGGTAACCTGTTTCAATGTTTTCATAGATTTCACAGACGTTAGGGCTAGAAGGGACCTCTCAAGATCATCAGGTCCAGCCTCCTAGTGAGAAAATTCTTCCTAATATTCTTCCTAACTGCCCTTGCTGCAACTTGAGCCCATTGCTCCTTGTTCTGTCATCTGCCCCCACTGAGACCAGTCCAGCTCCATCCTTGCAACCCCCCTGCAGGGAGTTGAAGGCTGCTATTCAATCCCCCTCGGTCTTCTCTTCTCCAGACTAAATAAGCCCGGTTCCCTCAGTCTTTCCTCACAAGTCATGTCCCCTGGCCCCACAACCATTTTCACTCTCTCCAACTTGTCAACATCCTTTCTGAAGTGGGGGGCCCACAACGGGACACAGGACTCCAGATGTGGCCTCCCCAGTGCTGGGTAGAGGGGAAGAATCACTTCCCTTGACCTGCTGGCAACGCTCCTACCAATGCAGCCCAGGATGTCGTTAGTCTTCTTGGCAACAAGGGCACACTGCTGGCTCCTGCCCAGCTTCTTGTCCCCTGTCACCCTCAGGTCCTTATTTGCAGATCTGCTGCCCAGCCAGCGAGCCCCCGTGAAGTCACAAAGGAAGTCACACGGGAAGTCCATGATAGAACAAAGACTTCACGTGGGCCAACATCTTATTGGTTGTATTCTTTAGTTGAAAAGCATTATCTATTATCTGAAAGAAGCTGAAACCTGCTAGAGCAAATGGTTTGCAAATTATAGCCCAAGCTGCAACCCCTAAAAATGAAGTGTATACTCACAAGCTCTGTTAAGTGTCTAAGCTGTCCAATTTCTTCAGGCAGTGAGACCAGTTTATTATTACTTGCTATCAAAACTTTCAATGGTAGACTACACAAGTGTACTGGCAAGGTGGAGAGCTGGTTTCGACTTTTTGGTAGGAAGACAAAAGAAAGCAGTTAGCATTCGGGAAGAGACCAGTTACCAACTTTAACACAACAAAAAGAAATACCAAAACCGCAAACTCAGTTATGACAGCACACAAGTGCATCAATTCTCTTTCTGCACATGATTATAGGTAACCTGGTACCCTGCAGTTTTGTCCACATCTCACTCTAACTCTTCATTTTCCCAATGTCTGTGTAGACAGAAGCTCTGAGTCTGCTACTCAACTCTTTGGAACTCCTGAGAATGGGAGAACAGGACATTTTTGTAGCAGGATTTGAGACTAGCTACTTTTAGGCATGGTGCACATACTTTTTATAGCTAACCCAGGTTGCCTTTTTTTAATTGTGTGTCTGTATGCAGGGAGTGTAAGCAGAATTAGCTTTTACTTGCTCGTGCAGGAGTGTTAAGTGTGTGTTATAAGTAATTCATTTGTAATGGAGTCCAAGCTGTGAAATTTTTTTTAATGGATTTAAAAATTTCACAATTCACTGTTTGACATTTCAGGTTTTTATTACTACAGAAGCATGGTCATATGATGGGACTCTGACCTCAGTAAACAAATCACATGGGATGAAGCCAGTTAACAAGAGAGAAAGTTTCTGTTTACAAATACATCAGAGCAATATGAAATGAGCTGCAAGTTAGAGAGAACGTTAATGGCACTTCAACTGAGGTTTGGATCAGCTATAAAAACCATGTTTGACAAAACATGGCATTGTTTTTTCAGCGTCTGAAGTCTAGATTTTCCACTGTAAAATTCTATTCCTGTGCAGCGGAGGAATCAATGCCAGCTAGCAACATGGTATAATAATTTGAAATGCACCTGCTAGAGATCACAGCAATAGGAAATCCGCCTCTGACTCATATCCTACTCCTACAATACACACCATAAAACAAAAAAGGAACATAAGCAAAATTAAACTGGCAAAGGGGTAATGCTTGATGCAAAGTGTGTGCTGGTTTTTTTTACCAGTATCAGCAGCTGCTTGTGACTGAGGGCTCTGCATACTTAAAATATTGTTTCTAATACAGACTATTACATCCAGCTGAAGTGCAACAAGAAGGTACAACACTGCTACAAGCACATCAGACAATTAAGCAGATGTAGACAAATGCATTCAAGATTTATCCAAAAACCTCTGAAAAGTCCATAATACAGTGTGCTTAAATGGGAATTCCCTAAACATCACTAAAAAGTTGCAAGTTGTGCAGAGATGCATTTCTTTCCTGACCATCTCTTTTTAGAGTTGGTAGATATCTACAATTTACACAAAGACTAGTAGACTATTTTATGATAAGACTCCACAGAGCTTGAGTTAAGCCGAGATGTGTGACCTTTATCATTTATTACTTTCTTGTCTTGCACCTCAATCCATTGCTAATCATCTCTTACCCTAATTTAGAGAGTCGAGGAGCAACTTCCTTAATCTAGGCAGTGAGGTCTTGCTTTTCAAGGCATTTAGAAAGGAAACTCCAAAGAACAAGTGAAATTTATCAGACCAGATGATGCATCAGATTAAAAAAATCTTAATGCACATTTCATATTTGTCATTAATATGCAAGGTGCATCCACCTAAAGCCCAAGGCAAATGGGCAAACAAATTACCATGCAGGAGTAATTAGTCCATACTGAAGTTCAAATTGAATCAACTGTTGACACTGTGCAAGTGGTGGCTTTACTTTTAGCTTACTTTAACTTGAAAAAATACTGGTCATTTACTTTGTTCATTAAACGAAATAGTTTCAGTTACACATCTTACCCATGTGCAATTTCCATTAAAAAGAAACAGACAATTATTCTTTCACTGTACTGAAGGTTGAACTGAAACTATTTCTGAATTATACAGATTTTCAGAGAGTAAAAATCCCTGCCCACTTTAATATATAACTTACTCAAAACCCCAAGAAACTGTTTGCTTCTCTCAGACTTACAAATTAAATTACTGGCTGCTTCTCTTGTTCTCTATTCTCTCACATACAAAAAGAGATTGTCCAGCTATATCTTGGACAGATTTATACGGTTTACTTCCTCTGACTTCAGCAATGTGTCTCATACGACAAACAGCACTTGAACAAAGAAATTTTGACCAATTTGTGCAATTGCCAGTTGTCTCCTCAGTGTCAGTCTGTGACCTTCTAGTTTCAAATCAGTCTCTTAAAACAGTATTTCTTAGTATCATTAGTCCATTCCTTACAGCTTAAGACAAGCAAGTATGAAAGTATTTCCCTTGTGTTAACAGTTATATTGTAAAAGTCTCTGCATACTGAAAACTGCTTCAGACATTCATTTTGTGAAGCTAGACAGACCCAAAGATGACAGTTTTCTTAACTCAGATTCCCTTTCCCTAATCAGACTTATTTTAACTGACCTTTTCTTTGAAATATTATTTAAAGTCCAAACAGGACCACCAAGATTTTGAAACAAACTATGTACCCAATGTTGCTTGCTTGAAAGGAGTGATTAAATTGAGGTACCCAGATACTTAAGTGAAACTTTAATTTGACAGTATTTATCTACATGGCTTTACCACGGAATCTGCTAAATTTATTCAGTGGCAGGATCCACTCCCATCAAGCAACAGTCCATGCTATGTTATTTCCATGACCTGTTCCTCCTTATGTGAGCCTGACCCTTTGGTTACTGTAGAAGTTTGCAGGCACAAGGAGAAGCAAGGGTCTCATAATAAATTAAATGAATACATACAAGTCTCAAAAGATCTTGAAAAACCTAGCCAGAGGTCATTTTTCCTACTTTATTTAAGCTAACACCCTGCAAAACACTTCAAGACTCTTTAGCAATTTCCTACTGCTACCAATTAAGGAGCCAGGATGCTCTGTTAAAAATCTACAAGTGCCCTGGAACTATCACAGGTCATAATTTTAAATTAAGTACAATTATTAAATAAATTCAGGTGCAAAGACAACCCAATGGCTCCAGTTAAATAGACACGGCTCATTAGAAGAAAAAAAAAAAAAAAAAGAGACTCCTGAACACAGTTTTAATTTATCCAAACACCCAAAATTACTACAACTATCAGATTAAAGAAAGATTCCGATTTTTCTTTAGTTTATTTACATGGAGCACTTTGCATACCATTTCAAAAAACAACAATTTTCCTTGCATAATCAGGTTGTTCTCGTTGCATGGGTCTCACACACAGCAAATAAAAAACCATGCAAGACAGAGATGCAAATGTTTATAAGCACTAATGCTTATCACAGTAAACATACACTTATTTATTATCATTGTGATTTCTTATAACAATAAATATTCTTGCACCTTTATAGCACATCCCATCTCAGCATTTCAAAGCACTTTATGAACATTACTGATTCAGGGTAGATATCATCAGTTTACAGATGGGGAAAATGAGGGACCAAAGTGAAATGACTTGCTTAGGATCACACAAATGACTTTGCATCAGGGGCAGCAACAGGATCTCTCGAGTCCCAGATGCTGGCTTTGTCAGAAAAGTCATCTTTCCCCTTTTGTTACTTTTAACATGCAGAAACCCAAGAGGTCTCATTTACAGGGTAATAAGAGAATATAAAGAACGAAAAAAATCAATAAATCTTTTCTGATCACAGACCTGGGCAGGGACAGGAAGAATCAAAGGAAGAGAAAGAAGAAAGATTCCAGATTTGTTAATCAGAACAAACAGGCAATTTATATTTCCTGTGCCATCAGATCTGTAAAACTGAACAGATGGAACCTGTTTGAACTCATAAAGGAGGAATGCTGACTGCATAGAAAATAAGACTGCAGGCAGTGTGCAGCAATCCCAAAGTGCCAAAAGTTAAAATTATTATTGGCTGGTGTCTCTTGATCAAGGTAAATGAAAAAGAATGGTCCAGGCTGGTGGATTAGATAATCCACATTATCATAGGGGACAGGTTATACATTGTGTTTGCGTCATCTACTAAAGTTGCAAAAGTTTGTGTGAATGTAGACTGCTGATACGAAATCAAGTTTTCAAGGTGATGGTTACCTGATATTTAGAAACGTCAAGGACTGCAGGTTCAATATGGCCTCGGGGATGTAACGAATGCAGTTCTGGTAAAAATTAAGGCTCTCCAGGGAAACAAAGTGACAAACTTCTGCTGGAAGCTCGGAGAGTCTGTTCCGTGACAAATCTGCGGAAAAAAGGAAAGATAAATGTTCACCAAACAGCCCGAGTGTGACTGCACGGGGCAAGGATTGTGCTTCCACAAGCGGACATTGCCTTGCACACTGGAGGGACAGGTGGTTGGAAACGTTATGTCCCCATTAGGGTTCCCATTCTACAACAGAAGCGAACCCAGACCTTTTTAAGTTTTACATGCAAAATCAGAGCATGAGCACATACGGTTTAACCCAACTTCAAAGAACCAGCTGCCTAGTGGTTAGGGAAATCGTCAGGGACATGGGAGATTGTGCTTGAAGCCCTGTCTTGCTCTGTTCAGACCAGGGAGTTGATTCTGGGTCTGTCATATCCCAAGGGAGTGCTCTAAGCCCCACGCTACGGTCTCTTCTGGACTGGGTCTCAATCTCTCCCGTTGGAGTTGTTCTACTTTGTAAGTAATTGAACATTCACTGGACCAAAAACAGAGAGGAACTGTTCAATGCCAGGCACCTAGGATGTGGAAGATAGATTCCAGTCCCTGGTCCAATTAACAACACATTACAGGGGAAAGTCCAAACAATGGAGCTTGGAAAAAAACCCCTCCAAAGCAGTGGATAGTTTGGTGGTTTGGACAATCACCAAGTTAAAACCCTGGTCTGGATTAGGCCAGCCAAAGGCTCCAACCAATACTGCCCATATTCTAGGGAACCATCCTAGTCACTGGGCTACTAGGGCCCTAGAGTTGGGTGCCCCCAAGAAACCTCTCCTAATTAACAGTTTGTTAAAACTGATGCACAATTTTTGGTTTTGACTAGTCAAGGACTCCACCCCCCCGGGCCAACAACCATGCTCTAATTGTGAACTGTAAATGTATAAAATAGTAATGGTCACCAGCATCGTGCCTTTGCACTGTGTTCTTTCAGCTGTCAAGTGACTTAGCTTTAGTTTTTGTTTTTGAGAAGAGCAAGGAAAAGCTTGTGCTCACAAAGGCCAAAGGACAATTCCCATAACACGCGTCTGCTGCAGCAGCTTCCTCACACACCCTCATTCTCTGTGCTAACCCAGAGGTACATCTACCACTATGGGCCAGAGAGGTTGTTTCACATGGGTACTCATTTCCTTCTGAGTGACTGTCAGTTTAACAAACTGCATGACGCTTTACCTCTTCAACAGCAAACATCTACTATAGCCAAGTCAAACTATATAATCAACCTGAATTATTATTGTACATGATTGAAAAAAAAAAAATTAACCACTACTTTTTTTCATTCTTAATGACAAGATGCGATTACTATAGAGTCAACATATGCAACAGTTATAAGAAGAAATGCAAGACTTAGAAGAAGAGCCGAACAGTTGTAATTTCTTCATCCACTTGGAATCAACAATTTCCATCTTTATCCTTCAATGTACCTGTTCAAATGACCCTGTCCTCAGAAGGCTGGTAAATCAAGCAGACCTTGCAGTGTGCCTTCCAGGTCCCTTTAAACCCAGGAAGGAAACTTTTTTAAAAGTAAAGGTCTTCTGACTGATAACGTGCTACTACCAGCTTTTTCCTGGCTGAGGAAAGAGATTGTTAAGATTAAGTACCTAAGCTTATCTCACCTTCACCTAAAAAAAAAGAAGAGGCTTTCAACATAGGTAGGACCCAAACATATTAGGGGCTATAAGCCTAATTCAACATTTACAATGGTGCTGAGAAAAACAGAAGCTAGTGCAGATGATGGAGCAAAGAAGTAAAGCTCTTTTTTAAAAAAGAACTGGTACTTAAGTGGTTCAACTGCAAAGAATGGCTGTCAGGTTTAAACTAACAAAGTGCATTAAGGAATCTGATCCTGAGGTATGGTTACTACTACCTTTAGCCAGGGACGCTACCAGCCTTTGTCAGATTGGTTGGGGAAGGTACAGACGCAGGCATTTCTGTTACCTGGATTCGCCAAACACAACTGGGAACCATAAACACCCGCAAGACGTGGGACTACGGGCAGAATGACTCTAATCAAAGGGAATAAACTAAACACTGTTCTTGCTTGCAGTTGCTTCCCAGAGACTCTAGCAAAACCTCAGTTTAAACTGGGTTGTATTTGATTTTTGATAAATCAACAGTTTTCAAAGGACATCTCTGACCACCTCTAATTGCAGGTATTAAGAACGCAAACTAATAATGGTCTGGACTAACCACACCCTTCATGAGCAGGAACTGTTCAAGAATTCAGAAATGCTAGTGAAGGCAAAATACCTCTTTATACTTCTAACATAGCCCTAGCATGCAATTTTAAAGTCTTTATCCCACTGCACTTAAACTGGGCACAAGACCTCTCCCAGTGTTGTTCCAGTCATTTCCTCTCCCAAACCTTTTGGTTATTTATTCCCACAATTTGCTTGATTCTCATTAGTCACCTTCTAAAACCCACCAAGAAAACTGAATCATAATTTGGGAGATGCATAATGAGAGATCCAATTAAGTTACTACATCAAGGCACCTAATGAAATAATTCTAATTATTAAAAGTTAGCATATGCTAAAACACAATGGCACCGCTACTGTCACAACACGTTAACAGACTCCACCACATTCTCTTTAAAAAACCAGGTGACTGTGGCATTGATGCCTACGTAGTCAAATGGGTGGCAAACTGGCTCAATGGTCGCACCCAGACAGTGGTGGTGGATGGGTCGTTTTCGACCTGGAGGGATGTGGGCAATGGAGTCCTCCCCCAGGGCTCAGTTCTGGGCCCTGTGCTATTCAACATCTTTATCAGCAGTCTGGAGGTGGGTGTGGAAAGCACGCTGTCCAAATTTGCTGACGACACCAAGCTGTAGGGTGAGGTGGGCACGCTGGAGGGGAGGGACCGAATCCAGCTAGATCTAGACAGGTTACAGAGGTGGGCAGATGAAAATAGGATGGATTTCAACACAGACAAGTGCAAGGCACTGCATCTAGGGAGAAGGAACCTGCAACATACCTACAGGCTGGGGAACACCCTTTTTGTCAACATGGTGGCAGAAAGGGATCTTGGAGTCATTGTTGACTCCAGGATGAACATGAGCTGCCAGTGTGAGGAAGGGGTCAGCAAGGCTAACCACACCTTGTCGTGCATCTACAGATGCATCACGAGCGGGTCCAGGGAGGTGATCCACCCCCTCTATGCGACATTGGTTAGGCCACAGTTGGAGTACTGCCTCCAGTTCTAGGTGCCGCGCTTCAAGAGGGATGTGGCTAGCATTGAGAGAGTCCAGAGGAGGGCCACTCATGGTCAAGGGGTGGCGGGGCAGGCCCTACAAGGGGAGGCTTAAGGGCCTGAACCTATTGAGTCTCCACAAGAGAAGGCTGAGAGAGGATCTGGTGGCTGTTTACAAACTCACCAGGGGGGACAAGAGAGAATTGGGGGAGGCTCTGTTCCCCCAGGCACCACCCGGGGTTACTAGGAATAACGCCCACAAATTGTTAGAGAGGACATCAGGAGACATTAGTTAGGGCTGCCAGGTTCTGGAATGGACTCCCAAGGGAGGTGGTACTCTCTCTTACCTTGGGGGTCTCCAAGAGGAGGCTGGACAGATATTTGACTGGGGTAATATGATCCCGGCACCCGTTCCTGCCCAGGGCAAGGGGTCGGACCTGATGATCTGTATAGGTCCCTTCTGACCCTAAGAACTAAGTACTATGACTGGGAGTGCAGGTTACCTGCAAGTACCAAAAAGATCAAAAGGAGAACAGCAAAGCAATGCAAAACTCTGGAACTCTTGGTTCAGAGACGATACCTTTTACTAGACCAACTAAGCAAGAGGAGAACAGTGTAATTCATAAACAACCCACCATGACGCACTTCAGTCAGTCTTGGAGATAAAAATATTTTCTGTCCAATCATGTCCTTTAAACAATTATTATGAAAGAAGTAAGAATTACTACAAAGCTACTATTACTTATGAGGCATAAGACTTTTTCTATGGCTCGTGGGTGAAAAATAATAAAAAGAAATCATTAATTTTACAGTCATCATGTCACCACATACTCCCCAGCTTCCAGCAGGCATTTATTCTGACCCGGTCCTTCACACAGCTGGGCTGGTGAAGCAGTTTTTAATAACCACACATTCAGACAGAGACAGTCCCCTCAATTTAACCACTCACATCTTCTGCCAGAGGAAGTCATAATGTAATTTTGCATTGTAAGGACATACCTAAGTAACATTTGGTGTCAAATGAATGTTACTAATTGTATCCAACTGTATGTAAAACGTGAATGAAACAGACTTCAATTATCCTTCAGGTCTCATGAGTAAAATGTACCGAATATTTGAAACTCTGCAGACCTTTGCTGTCGTATTTTCTGAAGGAGGAAGTCATTGTAAAGGCAAAATCAAGCATTCAGAAATACTAACCTAAGAGCAAGGAATCTTACAAATTACATACATAACTTGGTAAGACAGGTCACAGCATGACAGAAGTGGGATGATAAAACTAGCTAGCAACAAAAGACATTTCAAACAAGACTTGCCTCTGGTTAAAGTAACTCTGAAAACGCAACATCTCAACATAGCTGAAATTCACTGGAAATCTGATCAAATCATAGTTCAATCGCTGCAGGTATATGGATCTGAATGATCTGGATGGAGCAGGCCTGATCACTTCAAAGTTTAATTGATAGAGCAGCAGTTTCACTAATAAGGAAGTCACCAGAATGCCCTGATCTACTCCGAGACTTGGGTAAGAGCAGAGATCATTTCATATGGGGAGAGGAAGAGTACAAGGAACAAAAAACAGAGCTGCCATGAGAACAACCAGCACGTCTGTAAAACAGGACTAGACGCATTGGCTGACAACACCTGCAAACCAATACAGAACTAAGTGTGTCGAGTCACCAAATCAAACACGAGCAGCTACAAATCCCAGAGCTGCAAATGAAGTGCTTTTGGTTCCTTGAAACTAATACAAAAGTGTACACGTAAAAGGGCTTAATATTATATCCCAGGCAATGCAGAACACCTGGGCATCCTCACATAAGCTTAGACAAGTAAATGACATTTCCACTTATCTACCATGGCCTTGTTAATCCATTTGGCCAATTCCTCTGAAAAATCAAAAGACCTTCCACTTGAATGAGGCCCTGAAATAACTCTGGGATAATTCAACACATCTTGTATGAAGCTCTATAACAAAAATATCAAAATGAAGAGATCAGCTCTAGCAACAACAGGAGAGACTTATAAAAACCAGTCCTGTGATCAGGCACATATGTAGTAAAGCTGATTTGCAGTACAGCATTGTGTAATACTCCTCCAAAAGAAGAACAGGGCGTGCAGAAAAGGAACACAGCTGAAGCTGAAGGGGTTTAATGGACAGGTTTAAAATTCAAAGGGGCCTTCAAACTGGGGAAGTAAAATAGATGACAAAACAAAATTAAAAAGCTAAGTAAGATGTTTCACGAAGGGAAGAAAAACCAAATACCCAAACGTAGAACGGATTAACTAGTACTCCTGAGACAGGTCTGGGAGTGAAGGTGGGTCGCACGCTCAACGTGAATCAGGAATGTGAGGCTGTTGGAAGAAAAGCAAATGCGGTTTTGGGTTGCATTAACAGAACCACTGTATGCAAGGCACCGGTGAGAGTGATACACTAACCAGCCTGAGAGAAGCTCTTAGCGAGAGTTTTGGATCCAGTTTTGGGCACCCCGTTTTAAAAATGACACAGAAAAACCAAAGAGGACCTAGAGGGAAGCGACAAAGAGACCATAGGGGTTGGGTTGGAATGCAGCTGTATTGGGAAAAGCTGAGAAAACTAAGTAAAAAACTGTTTGGCTTGGAGAAGAGGAGATTAAGGGGAAATAGGAAAGTTTTCACATATTAGAAAGGCTGCCATAAAGATGGAAAAACATGGCTCTCCCTTGTCAAAGAGGGCAGGGCATGCAGCAATGGGTTTAAACCACACAGTAAAGCAGATTTAGATCAAATATTTCAAGAAAACTTCCTAACTGGAGAAAAATGAAACCGGCTGCCTCTTCTCCCTTGGAGGTTTTCAAGCAGAGGATGTATAGCCATCCTTCTGGGATAGGTTAGGAACAGCGCAGCCTACATCTGTGTGGGGAGCTGGATGACATGATTCGAGATCCCTTCCAAAATTATGATTCTTGAATAAAAATCTCCCAGCACTTCA